CTCACTCCCGTTCTCTCTCTCTCTCTCTCTCTCTCTCTCTCTCTCTCTCTCTCTCTCTCTCTCTCTCTCTCTGTGCGTCTATCAGTCAGCGCGTGTGCTTGTCAGCATCTTTATTTTTTTGTCTTCTATTTTTCATTTCGATTCACAGAATCGTGGTTTGGAAGAATACGCTTTTTTCACTCTTTTCAAAACAGTATCATTTTTTGAGACACAGGGCCTCCAACCTAACGTCCATCTCTGGGTTAACCCTATCCGTGCGTCGTGTTTTACTATCGTATCCATACGACGTGGGGAAATCTGTACCACCAGTTTCCAAAGAGGAAATTACTCGTTAATCCGATCCGTACGTTTTGCATAGCAGTCTGTCAAAATGATTTTTGGAGAAATACTGAAAGTTTCAAAGAGATCTTCGTACTAGAAGTATTGTAAAATGTGAAGAATACAACCCCGGGGGTACAAAATGAGCCCAGGGCGTATGGAGAGGGTTAAAGTAAACTATAGCTCTCAAATCGAAACTCTTTTGACTTAGTACGCTCATCCGGGGACTTCACACTCTCTGTGACGTCATGGGTGCAAGACACGTTTCAACTTATTCTAAGAATCAGGGGTCAAAAATACTTTTAATTAACCGCCTTTGATAAAACAATGGCAAGTGTTTAGACAAACATGGACATTCTATTTTAAAAAGAAGTATATTATATACATAAGTTTAACTGAGACTGCGCTTTTGGGGTTTGGAACCAGGGCTGTCGGCATCCGTGTCCATCACGTTGCCAACTGTGGCGATTACTCTCCCTTATAAGATCGAAAAACTAACTCCTCTAAAAATCCCACCACCATGCACATCTTCCACTTTACATGTATTTTAATAGACGCAAAAGGAAACTAAACAAAACAAATGTGAGGCAGCGTGGGGAAATCAGGCTCTCGCCAATTTTTGGGCATGTAAAGTTACTGGTATCATCTTAAAGCTTGTTCACTTGTCTTTATTTAGATGAAATAAAATACCCATTTATCTTGAATACAAGTCGAGATATTTTCGAAAGAAGGAGGTGGGGGTCACTTGTTTTCAGAGGTAAAACTAGTGAGGAAATGGCCGCCAAAGATGAGTTATTTCCCTAGCTTAAGAGTCTGTGGTAACTGAAAATTTACATTTTGTGTGCCTTTAATCAACATTTAATCCGGACAGAAATGAGTTCTTTAATGGGCATGAAAGGTGTTCAGCCAAAAAACGAACAATTGATAAAAATTCAGAAACATGCGGAAAAATGCAAGTTTCTTCACTTTGATTATTTTGACGAGAGCCTGATTCCACCACGCTGCCTCACAAATAAATATTGGTGTAACTTCAATCGTTGACACAAATAACCCATCGAACCAACACTTGAACTGGAAAAAAATACAAAAAAGCAAGTTGCGAACTAAAAACAACAACAAAACCACACAGTTTGTTTTTATGTCAAGTAATCTAATACAAACTTAATTGATTAATTTAATTTCTTGCTTCAAAGACCTTCCGAAAGAAACAAAAAATCAATAAAAGACAGAATAATCCGGATATTCTACAGACCCCCAAAGTCTATCCAAGACAAACTCCAACAAAAGAAATAAACGCTCTTCAAAAATAGACTTACGTGGAAAGAATATATTGATCGACAACAATAAATGTCAACAAAATAGAGCTAAAAGGTTAACTTCAAATATTTTTAAAACCGGCACAAATAAGGATTGTGAAAAAAGAGTAATGATGGCGATAAGAGGAAATAAAGTAAAAACAAAAAAAAAAGAAAGAAAGAAAGAAAGAAAGAAAGAAGAGAAACAGTATGATGGATGAGTTAATTATCCCAACCGCCCGATTCGTTTCTATTGGATAATTTACTCAGCAAAGTAATGCATTGTTTCCCGGGTCTAATAGAAGCACGCAAACTTGTGCACAGGCTTGGCCCGGGCGGCGGGGTTCAAAATGAAGCTTTACAGAGTGACAAAAAAAGTAAATGAATAGTTATCAGTTATCATGAGTTTTGGTCCAGACAGGCTGGCAGACAGACAGAGGGAAAACATACACGCAGACAGACAATTAAACAGAAGAAAAATGAAAGATAAAATAGAACAGGAAAATGACGGTCGCCCATTTCAAGCAGTTTTATATATAATTATCAGGCTCTCGATTTGGAACGATACAAATTTAAAAACCCCATTTAATGAGGCTAATCTCAAAGGAAAGAATTCACTGGAATAAATAAACATAGACAGACAGATTATATATATATATATA